AAGAGGATAGTCCTGAACAAGTTTATAGCCTCAAAGGAAGCATGTTGGAGAGAGGGGAAGAAAGGGAACAAATAACAGAACAAAATTTTGTTTCAAAGCCAGGGAAAAGTTGCAAAGTCCATTGATTTCCATTTCCTTTATGAGGTAAGAGAAGGCAAATGCTGAAGGAGGAAGGGTAAGGAAAGCAAGGAGCATACAGAAGTTAAAATAACCTTGAAGTAGCTAGTGCAGAGAATACAGAAGAGAGAGGAAGACCTGAGCCTGGGGTGCCTGGGTGGCTCAGTTGTTAAGTGTCTGCCTTCGGCTCAGGTCATGATCCCAGGGTCCTGGGCTTGAGCCCCATGGGAAGCCTGCTTCTCCCTCTCCCCCTGCTTGTGTTCCCTCTCTTGCTGTCTCTGTCAAATAAATAAATAAAATCTTAAAAAAAAAAAAACAAAAAACGAAGACCTGAGCCACACAGAAAGTTTTTTTTAACAACTCTGAGGATCTAGTTCTAAGTGCTAGAAATGACAAACTGGAAGTAAATTTGGGCCCAAACAAGCCACCAAGCTTAAGTTTCTATTTTTTTCCCCCCAGATGGCCTCAGCAGTGCTGATGAAGGAATAAAAAGGATGATAGACTGATGTAGGATTGAGCAGAAAGACAGTGGTACAAAATGTTTAAGAAATTTGTCAAGAGGGGCACCAGGGTGGCTCAGTTGGTTAAGCAACCAATTCTTGATTTGGCTCAGTTGTGAGATGGAGCCCCGCATGGGCTCTGCACTAGGCATGGAGGCTGTCTCTCCCTCTCCCCCTCCTCACATGTGCACTCCCTCTCTAAAGGGGGGAGTGAAGGGGAGGGGAGGGGTGGGGAGGGGAGGGGAGGGAGGAAGGAAAGAAAGGAAGGAAAGGAAGGAAGGAAAGGAAGGAAGGAAAGGAAGGAAGGAAGAAAAAAAAGAAGGAAAGAAAAAAAGAAAGAAAATTAAGTTTGTCAAGAATGTGAAGGAAGTGAGGGAAAATTAAGAAAATAGAGGGGTTCAACACACTGAAAACCAAAGGGCAGATTTAGCAGGATTGAGGAAATAAAACTGTGGTTAAAGGTAGGAGGCTGTGGTCAGAGTGGAATTAAGATTTGAGAGATGGGGCAATGCTAGATGATCATAAAGTCCAGGTATGCTCATGGCCACGGGTGGCTGGAACAGAATGATGCTAAACGTCAGTGAAGCTGAAGAAAGAAAAAAAGAAGTGATGACAGGGTTTGGTCTCTTCATTAAGTCAATGAAGTCACCCAGAAAATCAGCAGAGGCATAACCAGGAATGTAGATGAGAGACATAAGGAAGGACAGAAGACGGGGCATTAACTCATGCCTCTTTGGCAATACAAAAGGTCACCAGTACCCAACTAGGTCAAGGGCTCAGGTCTATTCTGCCAAAAGGTACTACTCCCAGACTACCTAGGAAGTCCAATGTGAAGACTCGTCAATCCCATATCATAATTTTCTACCACCAATGGTAGCTAAAACGCGTATCTATTTCTCACGCCTGAGCTATATATACATGAAAGCTAGGTCCTTGAAAACCACCACATAGAAGAAAATTCTACTGAAAGTAGAAACGAATTGTACATGCCTCAATTGCATCTCTAAAATGTTTCTGGAACACAGTTCTAACATTCATGGTAACCAGGAGCAATGATCCTTCCACTTAAACATCATGCACCACAGTAAATGCCCTGCAGCAACAGAGCACAGCAGTGTGACTACGGTGGAGAAAATATGGAGCTCCCCAAATTTGAGACTTATCAGAAATAGATATTATGCAAAGCAAAGAATAACTGTATGTATAGCACACACATACCAAACAAAAAGAACATGTTTTTCCTTACCGTTCTGGATCAGTGTTTACTCCAATAACTGGTTTAAGTCTATCTAAGACCTTACTTGCTGCCAGGAGCATCGTGCCATCACCTAAAGGACATAAGACATAACCAGATTTGTTACAAAACTAGTTTTTAACATCATTTTGAACACAAGTCCTTTTGTTTTAACAATCACACTCCTACTCCATCCTGCTGACCACCAGTCTATTCCACTTCCTTTCTACCCACTATCCCTAATCCAGGATTTCTCAACAGTGGCAAGACCGACATTTCAGGCCGGGTAATTCTTTGTTGGGGGGTGCCGGGGCGGGGGGGGGGGGGGACTGTCCCGTGCATTACAGGATGTTCAGCAGTATCCATGACCTCTACCTGTTAGATGCCCGTAGTAGCCCCCCAGCTGGGAACCACTGTTCTAATCCTATCATTCTACTAACCAAATCTCTTTCCTTCTGTCATAACATCAGTCCAAATTCATACATTATTTTAATGAGAATACATCCAAAAAAGTGTCCAGTGCAGATTTTTCTAACAAATGCTATCAATTTAAAGCTTTGACAACAATGTCCACTTACCTAATAATAAAGCTCAGGAAAGATAGCTGTAAGTATATTGGAGCCAGAGTGGGATGGAACTTAGCTAATCTCACTGAACTCTTAAACAATTTCAACTTTTTTTTTTAAGACTGGCATAACTAAATCAAAATACAGTTACAACTCATCTTTTGAATATTTGAAGTCAAATGCACACCTTAAATATACAAACAGAAATAGACATAGAACCTCACAAATAACATCATTCACTAAAAAAGTGAAATGTTATATATAGCAGATATTTTAAATCTTATCCTAAAAATCCCACAATGCATCTTGTGGTAGGATTCTGAAGGCTTCATTACAGCTAGACCACAGGTATCTGGAAATGATAGTAAAGAGCATTTCCGTATTCCAACATCTTTACCTCTGTAAAACTATTACCTCCTGCAGCTATGACAGCGTCTGCCCATCGAACAATCTCTTCATCATATTCTCTCCTCTTTACTAGACGAACCTCAATGCCCTCATTCCTAAGATAAAAAAGTAAAAGTTATATAAAATGTCCACTAGTAACATGAAGGATGTTTTGAGGCAGGTTACTCCAATGATGTAAAATAACCAAACTTGTTTTATAAACAAATTTATGTTTAGTTTTGCAAGGTTAACTTCATTTTCATTTATTCAATTACAATAGCCAATTTACTATGGTCAGGAGGCATATGAATAAACTAAAAGTTAATGACTATCCGAAATCTCTACATGCTTCAAAAACATCTTGTTTTTGCCCCTGACAAATAGCAGTATCAATAGATTAGAATTTCATTTCATTTTCTCTATTCCTCTGATGCTAAAATTCACTAATACAAAAATGGTCAAGAAGTGTAACATCTCAAGACACTTTTTAATTATAAAAGCAAACAGTCATTATTTTAAATCCAACAAATATTCATTCAGTGTCAGACACTGAAACAGTGACTAAAATACTTTCTCCTTTGCATGTTCTCACACGGATTCTCTTATATACATATAAACTTATTCACTGACTGCATTAATAGAATTAACAGAAGTTCCTGTGATAATTTTTAGACATTCAAAGAATATTTTAATGAACACCCATAAAATCCAGTATTTAATAAAATATTACACATACAGTTGAAGCCTAATGTATACAGAATTATCTCTGTAGAAAAGGCACTTCTCAGACCAAATATTAACTGAAAATGTGTGAAATTTTCAGAGTACAATAAAAATTTCCTTAGAGGGCACCTGGGTGGCTCAGTTGGTTAAGCGACTGCCTTTGGCTCAGGTCATGATCCTGGAGTCCCGGGATCGAGTCCCACATCGGGCTCCCTGC